ATAATTTATACTTTATCAAGGGTTCACAAGGTGGGGGGTGGGAGAGAGAGGGAAAAACAGAGCTGATACCAAGGGCTCAAGCAGAAAGAAAACGTTTTAAAAATGATGATGGCAACATGTGTACAAATGTGTTTGATACAGTTGATGCATGGATTGTTATAAGAGCTGTAAGAGCCCCCCAATTAAGTGATTTATTTTTTTTTTTAATTGGGTTAACAGGTAGCAGTATCCTTGAGAATTTAGTCCCTGGATGCAGTCACAGGATTCTCTGAGGCAGATTTGAGGGGTTCAATTTAGGGCCACAGTTGCGGAGAACTTCTTGTTACGCTATGTCTTGACAAACGATATAATCTATGATTCTCCTATATTTCCATCATAAAATAATAGTCGGGTGACTCTTCAGTCCCCCTGATCAGTTTTGATTTAGTGAAACAAAAGCCAGACTTAGAAAAACACGGTCCAAACTTCCTCTTGAATTTTGAGGACATGACTTCTTTTAATACTTGGCCTTTACCCAACTCTCCTATCAACTGGGATGCCAATGGAGTAACAAGAGTACTGCTTGGATTTATGGCCTTGTGGGGCAGGTAAGATGCCGGGCAATACCTTACGAAAACTCCAGCTGCTAGTTTGCATATGTTGAGAAATGGGAGGGGTGGACTGACCTGGAATGGGGATAAAATAGCACGGTTGCTTCACACAACAGATGAGCTCATACTTAATAATGGAGTAAAGCTGTTGAGGCAGGACTCGGCCTGATTGCTAGCTCTACGTCTTGTCAACAAGCACATAACTTTTGGGGTGCTGGCAAGCTGATGTATCAGATCATTTAGTTTGGACTTACAGACCACCCACAACTGAGGACTGAAATTTGGGGGGAGTTCTTTTTCTAAGGTGCTTTTTTTCCTATGCCAGGGCCTATTTGCAAACTCTTCTGGGAAGAGAAACCTTGGTCCCCAGGAGCAAAGACTAGGGATGTGCATTTTCCACCAGGGTGAGTCTCTCAACACGTTGGACCGACAGGGTAGCTGCAACAGTGCGTTCACACAACATTCACGTTTGTACGCGCAGGACCCGGCTCTGAATCCAAAGACTACCTGACACCACGTGGATTGGATGCGGATCCTTCCAGAAAGCACAGAATGAGGGCTACGATGACACGAGCCATCTGGATTTCAGAGGTATGCAGTTCAGGCAGCTCTGTGGGCGACACCTTTAGTTCCAGCTTCTTTCACACCCCAGACCATATAATGACTGAGTCAGTGCCCGTGGCGGCGGCTAGGAGGACGCTCGCCCACGTCGGGGGCCGATGGACGCCGGCTCCACCGGAATCCCAGGTCTGGGAGGCGCCTGCGGGCCCCCCGCGCAGCCTCCACGTCAGCCATTGGTCTGGGTCATTCCACGGGTTTTCCAACAGGCTCCTCAGACTCTCGGCCTGAAGCTCCTGTCTCCTCAGCGCGCGAGCGTCGGCCACCGAGCATCACCGCCCGGGGAGGCCCAGACCGGAAGCGCCCTCGGGACCCGCCCCCTGGCCGTCGGAGCCGGAAGTGAGTTATCGGCCCCGGCGCGTTTCCCGCCGCCGAC